AAGAGACAAGGTATGGAGCAAGCTTTCAGAAGCCTTAAAAAAGCAACACTCCCATGTGGAAATTACAAAAAACAAACCACCAAAAAAAATCACCTTCTGCTGGTTGCAGCTGACTCAGATGGCCAAAATCAACATCTGTAGGTCTGCTCTGCTTTGGATCATTATCAGCATGGACATGTGTCCAGGGGTGGATGAGAGTGCTGCGGGGCCCAGGGCAGCGCCGCGGGGCCCCGGGCAGCAAAATTTCGCGGAGTCCCCCCTTTGAAACAGCGCGTGCGCTGTGGTGCCAAGGCGCATGCGCGGGGCCTCGGGAAGCACGGGGCCCAGGGCAGCCGCCCCGCTCGCCCTGCCCTAAATCCGCCACTGCGCGTGTCCTCAGAAATGGTGGTTGAAACATGAAGGAATACTTGAATCTATAGCACATCTGGCACATAAATATCTTGCATTGCTGGTTACAACAGTGCCATGTGAATGCTTGTTCTCACATTCAGATGACATTGTAAACAAGAAGCAGACAACATTATCTTCCCTAAATTGTAACCAAACTTGTTTGTCTGTGTGATTGGCTGAACAAGAAGTAGGACTGAGTGAATTTGTAGGCTCTGAAGTTTTACATTGTTTTTATTTTTGAATGCAGGTTTTTTTATATTATAAATCTACATTTGTACACTCAACTTTCATGATAAAGAGATTGTACTGCAGCACTGGTATTAGATCAATTGAAAACAGCTGTTTCTTTTGTCTTTTACAGTGCAAGTATTTGTAATCAAATGTAAAGTGAACACTGTATACTTTATATTGTGTTGTGTTTGAAAATGTAGAAAACATCCAAAATATGCACATAAGTGGTATTCTATTACTAATTAACAATGCGATAAATTGTGATTCATTTTTTTAAATGCTTGACAGCTCTACTGAAAGAGTTTCTGCTGTCACCAAAGTTCCCCTAGATCTTTGTCATCTGGCTAAGCACTGACTTCAGCACATGTATAATACAGCAGGACAGTCACTGCAGAAATATTAGCTTTTTAGAATCACACAGCCACTCCATGCTTAATTATTTTTCATCTTCTGTTACCAGTATTAAAGGCTGCCTTCATGCTGAAATAGATGAGAAACCAGCTAATCACTTTGCTCTTAATAATTCTGTGCATAAAGTCCAAGTGGGGGAATGAAAGTGAGATGGGTTACTCCCCAGATATCCTTTTTTTCCCATTCTCTGCACTGATTAGGCCTCAGTTGGAGTATTGCTTCCAGTTCTGGGCACCACATTTCAAGAAGGATGTAGAAAAATTGAAGAAGGTCCAGAGAAGAGCAACAAAAATTATTAAAAGTCTAGAAAGGAGTATTCAGAAAGGGATGTAAGGTCATAGTGGACCACAAGTTAAATATGAGTCAGCAGTGTGATGCTGTTGCAAAAAAGGAAACATGATTCTGGGATGCATTAATGGGTGTGTTGTGAGCAAGACACGAGAAGTCATTCTTCCACTCTACTCTGCACTGATCAGGCCTCAATTGGAGTATTATGTTCAATTCTGGGTACCACATTTCAAGAAAGATGTGGAGAAGTTGGAGAAGGTCCAGAGAAGAGCAACAAAAATGATTAAAGATCTAGAAAACATGAGCTATGAGGCAAGGCTGAAGGAACTGGACTTGTTTAGTTTGGAAAAGAGAGGGAACATGATAGTGGTTTTCAGGTATCTAAAAGGGTATCACAGAGAGGAGAGGGGAAATTGTTCTCCTTGGCCTCTGATAATAGGACAAGAAGCAATGGGTTTAATCTGCAGAAAGGGAGGTTTAGGTTGGACATTAGGAAAAACTTCCTAACTGTCAGGGTGGTTAAACACTGGAATAAATTGCCTACGGTGGTTGTGGAATTTCCATCACTGGAGATATTTAACAGCAGGTTAGACATCTATTGGGGAAGATATAGACCATGTTGGGGCCTGCCATGAGGGGAGGGGACTAGACTTGATGATTTCTCGTGGTCACTTCCAGTTCTAGTATTCTATGATTCTGTGATTCTAAAAAAACCCTTAAAAAACAATGAATAATCTAGTAACACCTTAAAGAGTAACAAAACATGTAGCTAGTATCATGAGCTTTTGCGGGCAAAATGATTTGTTAGTCTTTAAGGTTCTACTAGACTATTTGTTGTTTTTAAAGTTTTTCTGTTACAGACTAACTCAGCTACCCCTCTGAAGTCTATGATTCTAGTGACGCTCTCTTAATAGCTACATTGTCTTTCTGCTGAGGAAGCTGAGATGAGGCTTGACATGGCTAGGCAAAATGATCTCGTCTTCTGACTCCACTGAGCCCCAGATCTATCCCATAAATTCATCAACGATTTAGATATTGGCCTAGAAAGTACGCTTATTACGTTTGCAGATGATACCAAGCTGGGAGGGGTTGCGACTGCTTTGGAGGATATGGTCATAATTCAAAATGATCTGGACAAATTGAAGAAATGGTCTGAGGTAAACAGGATGAAGTTTAATAAAGACAAATGCAAAGTGCTCCACTTAGGAAGGACTAATCAGTTTCACACATACAGAATGGGAAGCGACAGTCTGGAAAGGAGTATGGCAGAAAGGGATCTAGGGGTTATTGTAGACCACAAGCTGAATATGAGTCAGCAGTGTGATGCTGTTGCAAAAAAAGCAAACATGATTCCGGGATGCATTAACAGGAGTGGTGTGAGCAAGACACGAGAAGTCATTCTTCCGCTCTACTCTGCGCTGGTTAGGCCTTAGTTGGAGTATTGTGTCCAGCTCTGAGCACTGCATTTCAAGAAAGATGTGGAGAAATTGGAGAGGGTCCAAAGAGCAACAAGGATTAGTAAAGGTCTAGAGAAGGAAGGCTGAAAAATTTGGGTTTGTTTAGTTTAGAAAAGAGAAGATTGAGAGGGGACATGATAGCAGTTTTCAGGTATCTAAAAGGGTATCATAAGGAGGAGAGAGAAAACTTGTTCATATTGGCCTCTGAGGATAGAATAAGAAGCAATGGGCTTAAACTGCAGCAAGGGAGGTTTAGGTTGGACATTAGGAAAAAGTTCCTAACTATCAGGGTAGTCAAACACTGGAATAAATTGCCCAGGGAGGTTGTGGAATCTCCATCTCTGGAGATATTTAAGAGTAGGTTAGATAAATGTATATCAGGAATGGACTAGACAGTATTTGGTCCTGCCATGAGGTCAGGGGACTGGACTCGATGACCTCTCGAGGTCCCTTCCAGTCCTAGTATTCTATGGTTCTATGATTCTATGAAATTCCATGGCACAGTGAAAGCTTCAGCCTGAATAGGTAAGAAAAGCCACCATCAAGAATGAGGAGGAAATGTATGCTGACTGAGGATCGACTCCTGTTCTCACTGAACTGAGTAGGTATGTTGCTATTGATTTCAGTGGCAGTAGGATAGAATCCTGAAGGATCTGAGTTTGTTGCCATGGAGCCAGATCCAAACCCCACGAAAGCTGATAGTTAGATGCCCACTGAATTCAGTGTGCAATATATCAGGTTCATAGAGAATGATTCCTCTGCCTCTTCCAGTCTACACCAAGGAACAGTGGGAAAATCAAGGGTTACAGCAAGATGAGCCAGCATTACTGAAGCAGTAATTCTGATATAATTGAGGAGATAAAAGAAGTCTCTGAATTCTTTGTGTGTGTGTTTGTTTCTTTTACTTAGGTCCAAACTGAGATTCTGTGTCAAAGTTTTGGATAGCCTTCCTCTGCTGACAGCCAGACCCTGACTCCTCTACTCAGGCTGAGTAGTACATTTCTCCCCAAATTGTTCCACTCTGCCAGAGGGAGGATTTGGATCTAAATCAGCTGGTGACCAGGTGGAGCAGGCAATGATGGAGAAAGAAAAGATCTAACTCTAGAAACAGGATGTGGGTGCATCTAGACTGGCAAGATTTTGCGCAAAAGCAGCTGCTTTTGCACAAAAACTTGCCAGCTGTCTAAACTGGCCACTTAAATTTGCGCAAGAACACTGACATTCTACTGAAACAAAATACAGGACTATGTAGCACTTTAAAGACTAACAAGATGGTTTATTAGATGATGAGCTTTCATGGGCCAGACCCACTTCCTCAGATCAAATAATGGAAGAAAATAGTCACAACCATATATACCAAAGGATACAATTAAAAAAAAAATGAACACCAGACTAACACGGCTACATCTCTATCACTATTTGACATTCTACTGTAAGAATTCAGTGCTTCTTGCGCAAATACTTTGACACTCCCACTCAGGGATAAGCCCTCTTGTGCAAGAACACTGGCTAAAATGGCCATCGGAGCTTTCTTGCGCAAAAGCGCGTCTGTACTGGGCGTGGATGCTTTTGCGCAAAAGCACTTTTTGCACAAAAGCATCCGTGCCAATCTAGATGCTCTTTTGTGGAAATACTTCTAATGGAAAAACTTTTCCGTTAAAAGTATTTCCGCAAAATCATGCCAGTCTACACGCAGCCGGTATGTCTGAGCTTTGCTGAGTACATACCCACTGGCTTCAGGCTGGTTTGTACTTGGTACAGCTCAGCTGTGCCTGTGCTTCTGCTACTAGCAGTTCTACAGCTGCACCACAATTAATACTTATGCTAACTCACTGAGAGCGAGAGCAAGCATGTGTACACAAGCAAGAGACTCACACTCCTAGCTGACACTGGGGCGTGGGGGGAAGGGGCGATACATTTTAGTGCCTGGTGATAACTCAGCACAAGTTGTACCTTTCATGTTATCATCTAACCTGCTAACTGCATCTTCCACATTCAACTGGAACTGAACAGTAACTTAAATTTCCTACAGGTACTGTCCATCACACCACCTTCTGGTGGGACCTCAGAGCAGGAGCTGACCAAGCTTTTAATGTGCTAGCTCTGAGGATGTGGAACGTGTTCACTTCTGTCTCTTTTATGCTTATTAAGGGGGTGATGGTGTGGAAAGTGATATTTATAAATATCATAAAAACAACACATTCACTCTGTACTGCTACTCACCTTGGCTTCATCATTGACATCCCAAGTAAAGGACACAGCATTGTATGCTATTTCTTCAATGTTCCCAATGGTGTTAAAGCTCTCCTTGTAATCAGCTGTAAGACACATCCAATAAAAATGACTTTTAAGAACAGAGTTCTCTCATTTATTTTCATACTTCACAGAGTCTTCTGCAAGGTTGTCCTTTGCCTTTTCATGCAGGTCTATCTAGACAGGAAAGCTATGCTATTGCTCATGTTTCATTATTAAAAATCTGATTTACAAAATTAAGATCACAGCTGTTCAGAGTAGTAAATCTTCCTGGAGCCACATTCTTTAATACAACTGTGATAGCTGGATTTTTACTGGAGGTTTTAGTCTTAACATGGAACCAATGTTTCTGAACAGGAAATGAATGTGTGCTTGTTAACGTGGCAGTAAGAAGGAAAGGCTGAAACTGGAAAGCTAAACAAGGTAGTGGAAACAGTCAAAGGAACATTTAACCCTTTGTGGAAACACACGGAGCCGAGGAAACCAATGCACCTTGCAACAAAGTTTGAGGAAGGCTTGCAACGTGCTATGCAATATTAGCCTGATATTGTTTTGCTATCTATAGGTAGCTTCCTTCCAATTTGACTACCAAGCTTTTTTGTTTTTGTTTTGCAATTTAAATAAATAATCCATTCATCACCAACTGCTAAAAAACAAAAACAAACAAAGAAAAAACATCAGGAACATGTTCAGTGGTGTCCACAGAGCAGTGATTACACGCTCACTCTGCTTTCTGATAACTGAAGGTACAACGCATTGGATCTTTAACAAGGGGACCCTTTCTTCCAAAAATATAACTAGCAGTAACAAAAACAAGCAAAAAAAAAAACAATCCCAAAGCAAAACCCATGAAAGTTTAAAACAAACAAAAAACAGAAGTAACCAAACATCCCCTCTCAATTAATTGATTTTTGTTTCCTCGGGGCCTATGATGTCATAACCCTATCAATACTCTAGTCAGCCAAAGAGTATTAAAAAGAAAAAACCGCTGTGTAAATGAGACCTGAATTTCTAATGTAGAAAACAGCAGGAAAAAAATTTGAGAGAAGGAAGCAGGAATATGGCAGATTTCAGCTTTTCTTTATACAGCACAGAGAAGCAAAAAAGGGACGATAACCCATTTTCCTCCCTTACCTTTAATATTTCTAGTTCCACATGTAATCATAGATTAAAAGCTTTCAGATTCTTCAAAGAGAAAATATGTCACCCCTCCATGGGGCATATGCTGCCTGAAAATCCCTGGAGAGGTATAATTGTACTCAGTACCAGAGGGCTCTGATTACTCAGTGCAATAACTTATTTTAACTTCTGCCTGCATCTGCACTTCAAAAGTAGGTTGGTTCATGGCTTTGTGATCAGTGGTAGAAAGTGAATGTTTGACACTCAGTAAGTGAAGGTCCAATATGAATTTGGTATTCTTTTTCTCAACCTTGTTATTCCTTTAAGAAAAATGAACATTATCTAGGTTTCACAAAATAATTAAGAAGCAACAATACTTTCAAGTATGCTTGCATGGCAAAAGTGTCAGTTTTGTGCGTGCAATAAAGAGCAGAAGTATAATTACTGTACATTTATCTGAAGCACAAGGATGCTGTCTGGACTAGTGACACAACATGCTTGAAATGCTTGAAACAGGTTGGATCAAAGAACCACAGGCATGGCATGAAACTTTCAGTGAGGTCAAGCAATTGGACACAGTGAATGTGTCTAGAGAAGGTCTCTGGACCTTTATCCACATTGTGAACACAAGTCATCTTTCTAAATGAACAAATTGGCTTTCCAGTTTGTAATGGAGAACGCAAGCAAGAAGAATTAGGAAATATACATATGCAGTTTAGTATGCACATGCACCCACCTTCCCACCCACCCCTTCGATTTATGATTCACCCAAAAATGCCTTGTGCAAATGATTGCTGCTCATGAACATGCTGTGTAGGTGTATCTTGGAAAGGGGTGAACAAGAGTCTTGTAAAGACATATGTTTTCTTCACATAAAAGACAATAAGTATCCACCATGCCACCAGCATCTCTCTTCCCCCAAAACACGCCCCCCATTTCCTGACCTGCCATACACATGCCTCAGGAAATGTGCAACATGCCATATAAAAGCAGGGCTGCACATTACTCCCTTCAGCTCAAAGATAACTAAAGAATCCAGAGCAGAGAAATCAGTCTTGTGGGGTTTTGAAAATGACCAACTGGAGCTGCTTTAAGCATCAGCCTAGCTGCTGCTTCTAGGACAGGCGTGGGCAATAATTCTTGAAGGGGGGGGGGCACTTCAAACATTTGTAAGTAGTCATGGGCCACTGGGCAGGGCCTTTAAATAGCAGGACTTGAAAGGGCTCATGGCTCCCCCGCAGCTCCCAGGCATCACGGGAGCTGCTGACACGCGAGCCCTTTCATCTTCTTCTATTGAAAGGGCTTGTGCCTTCCCTGGGGCTGTTGCCTGACAGCCGTGGGGAAGGAGCTAGCCCTTTAAATAGAAGCAGTTGAAAGGGCTCGCGTGATCCTGGCTCCCAGGCAATGTGCTAGAGGTGTGGGAGCTGCGAGCCCTTTCAACTGTTTTTCGCCCTTTAAATAGAAACTGTTGAAAGGACTAGCAGCTCCCGCGCCTCTAGTGCGTTGACTGGGAGCTGAGGGTGCACGAGC